ATGTAAAAAGAAATATATAATGAGGATTGATATGATCCGCCCCCCAAAACAAACAAACAAAATAACACCTTTCTTAGATGTTTGGGGAAGAACTGAGTGTTTCAAATACAAGGAGTATATAAAAAATAGCCCTTAATATACATTAAACAAAGAAATAATTACCAATTTGTTGTCTAAAAGTAATTTCATGGGCTATAATGTGATTAAATTAATACAACAGAGAAGAAAATGAATGCCAACTTTGTGATCAACTAAAACCATCTACGTAACTTAAGTAATATTTCCTCCCTTAATTCATTTACAAACAAAAAGGAGTAATATACTGCATAATTAAGAAGCTACAATAACCACACCAAAGTTAATGCTGATCCATTCTGGATCACATCCCAGCATCCAAACCAAACAGAAGTTCTTATTGTATATTCAGTATAAGATGCTATAAAATATATTCTTGGGTCCATTTAAGTAATCAAGGGAGTTCTAGAAAATAATCAGAAAAGGGATAAACTGAAGAAGAGAAATAGTTAAACACCATCCTTTATTTGTACAGCTTTTTTTTAACCACTGAAAGCATACTGCCATTTTTCATCTCATTTTAACCCTATTAAGAAATCTCTGAAATTAGGTGGAACAGTTATTACTATCCATGTTAAAAAAAATAATTTGTAAGGAAAGCAGTAATTTTACATCCCCTATTGAATTAATGGCAAAATTGACACTGACATTAGAATCCAGAAATCAAAATATCATTGGGGGGGGGGGGGAACTCACATAGACAAAATCTAAATGCAGCCACCACCTATGACATAAGAAATTAGTAACTGAGACCAATGCAACCTCTGAATGTCCTCTTTGCCAGCATAAAACTTGGAAAGGAAGGAAAAGCAAGGGCCTGGCCTTACTTAATACCTCTGAGGCTGGAATCAGGTTAGAAAGCAGAGGCAAACCAAAAGGACCAAGTATACTCACAACCTAGTTTCCAGTGCTATGAAAAGAGACTGCCTCTTCAGAGCACAACGGTCACACAATGTTCTAAAATTGGTGTTCTCATCTTTCCTCTTTCTCATTGATTTGAAACAGCATGATCAGAAGATAAAAACCACTAGCCTCAGGAATAGCAAGTCAGTCTAGTACACAGATTTGGTTTCATCTTCTTTTCTCCATTTTGGATTTCTTCAAGTTGTGTATCTGGCTCCAAGACCCAGTTTGTATTAAGAGTTAAATCCAAAGGATTAAACAGGGTAAAAAGAAATTTAAATTCTGAGTCTAAAAAATTCAGTAGTCTATACACACATACACACACTCAATTTTATAATATACTTTGAATGGAAGAGAATAAAATGGGGGGGGAGAAAAGCTTATTTCTGGCATTTTATCAACCAAAATGTCTATTTTCTGGTACCACTATGAATCTAACTTCAAAAAACAAAACAAAAAATGATGTTCATAATGATGATCACTGGGTGCTGCCAAATATTGGAGTACCTTCTGAATCTCCAAAGATTAAGCTAAAACTACAGTGAACAATTTAAAGGATATTTGATTCCTAACCAGGAGGCTGGTAGTTCAAACCCACCAGCCACTCCTCAGAAGGCAGACTGGGCAATTTACTTCCATAAATACCACTTTGAAAAACTGAGGAAGGGGTCACTATGAGACAAATGACTCAACAGAAGTGTGCTTTATTCGTGTTTTTTTTTAACACTCTGAATATTGGTAACCTGTGTCTTAGCCTTTACTAAGTAACACTCGATGCCTTACTCATGATAGATATAAGATTTTTTTGCTAAAGTATTTTTCCAAAAATAGTAATTGTTACAATTTCAATTCTTTGGTACCTGTTCTGTACTACTGTTTTTCATGAGAGATAAAAGTGTCATCAATGGTGATTATCAATTATCAGATACTGGTTTCAGAAGAATGAGACTATGAGAATTAATTAGTACAGAAACTGAAGTAATCTTCAACAGCTATGTTTTTACTTTGTTAGTTGAAATGATCTTACAAGGTAAAACTACACAAAGAAATAGGCTCAGAAAAGGTAAGTGACTCATTCAAAGTTATACAGTCATATAAGTGAAACAATCACCTGCCTTCAGTCTTCTTTGCACTATATTATCTCCTCAATCTGAAGAAAGAATAGAATAAAGGCAGGGTGGTGTGTTTTGTATTAAATTACAAATAATTTGGCATTAGATAGTTTGCTAATATGACATGAATAAATATTTGATACTAGGACACAGGGTGGTTTCATTCCATCTATTATGTGTAGTCCTGCCATTCCAGAAAAGAAGTTCGTAAGAAATACAATGTAGTATTGTATCACACTCAAAGTCTTCATCTGTTGCTGAGTCCATGATACTATTTATGAAAAAAGAGTTCAGGAAGGAAGAAATTCAGATGATGCAACCAAGTATTTCCTAGGTATTCATCTCTTAATAATTAAAGAAGCAATTTTTCAAACACTAGGTATTTGAAATTTTAAAATAATTTTTAATAATTCAAAAGCAATTTTTCAAACAGTGCATAAAAATTCATAGACAACAGTTATACTTATTAGTTCAAACGCTTAATAACCTCTAGTAAATTACAGAGGAATCTTAGACTTCTCTATCAAAACTGTGAGAGGCAATGTTAAAAATCCTTTGTATTATTCTTCTTCGGAAAGAAAATGGCAGATGGAAAATGTTAGATGTTTCAAAGTTTTCAATATGTTTTTTAAAATTACTGCATTTCAAGGAAATTTGCATATGGATATAAGAAACAAATGCCAAATTCAAAGCAACTTTTCCAAATGTGATAACCTCATAAGATACACAAATAATATCAGTTCAATCCAAAAGCTTAGAGATTCAGTTTAGTAGAGTGGTTAAAGGCATAAACTATGATACCAGAATGCTGTGTAACCTTGGGCAAGGTATTTAACCTCTCTGTGTCTTAGTTTCTTCATCTATGAAAATGAGAAAATACACGTGTATCTGTTTCTGAGAGTTGTTTTAAAAATTAAATAATCTACACAAAGAATTAGGATAGGACTGATACTGTAGTGAACACTACAGAGGAACTAGCTGGTGTTACTCTAAATTTGCATTAAAAAAGATTACAGAGGGCTAGCACTAATTATTAAACAAAATGAGAAAATCTCCACTAGAAATCCACAGAAAAGAAAGTAGGTATAGATAAACAAGAAGTAAGCCAAGGATCTTTCCAATTCACAAGATTAGGTTACTTCTTATACCCTGCTGGTAATATGTCTATATCAATAAAAAAAAAAATATATTCATTAACTTTGTTATAATAGGTGTTAAACAGGAAAGTCTTGGGAAATTACCATAAGAACGAATATGCTTATCCTATGAGTAGGTAATTCCCTGTCTAATGCATCAATACCAAATTGATTAACCATGCAACTGAATTTCTACCAGGCTTCTCTACCCATTTCAATGCTGTACTAGAGGTTTCTGCAAATTTTCTACTCTAAAATCAAGGCTTTTAGCAGGCAAAACCATTCTTCTCTCTTTTCTTCAAGATGATAACAAGAACAACTTGCCTCTGGTCACTGAGGCAGCTATTCAGGGACCCCCTCCTGAGTGTTCTAGAGTACTGCCCCCTCCAGAAGAAACTGAAGTTCCTAAATCCAGTAAAGGAGGACGGAAGAACACAGAAGCACAGGGCAAATCCAACAAGAGAGAATACTAAAATAACAAAGGACTATAGAAACAGAAGCGTATGATAACAATATTTTTATTCATATTCCAGGGTAATTAGCTCACAAAGTACTTACCCATTCATTGTATCATTCAATTCTTGAACCTACTTCTGAGGCTGAAGAGATACTGCTTTCCATTTTAAAATGATGAGTACTAAGGCACTGAGGCTTATATGAGATTATTTCTATATTTTAATTAATAGATTCATAATATCTTATCTTTGAGTGAACTTTCATCATCTATAACAACAGCCCAAAAGAAGTATGTCTTGCTTTCTGTATGTTTAATAATGACTACTTTCTACTGTCCTATCTAAGTAACTCCCCACCTCTATAGGCTCTGTGCCTCCCTCCTGTCCTCTCTTACCTATGAATACCTTTACCTTATACATGTTGTTGTCGTGTACTGTCATGTCAATCTCGACTCACAGCAACCCCACGTGACAAAGTACAACTGCTCTACAGGGATGTCTTGGCTATAATCTCTATGAAAGCAGATCATCAGGTCTTTTTCCTGCAGAGTCAGTGGGTGGGTTCAAACTGCCAACCTTTTGGTTAATAACCAAGTGCTTAACCACTGCACCACCAGGGCTCCTTATCTTATATATACCATTTTATATTGGGATTATCTTTATGCCTACCTTCTTCTAATAGACTTTAGCTCCTAGAGAGACTAGGAACTATGTCCTATCAATTTATGTGTATATTCTATCTAGCACTGTCCCCATTATAAGAAAATGAAGTTCCTAATCCAATAAAGGAGGACAGAAGGACAGAAAAGCACTATTCATAAAAAACCCAACAAAAGAAAATACAGAAACAGAGAAATATGATGGAGCAAATGCTCAGCAAACATTTATTGAATAAATGTATGAAATATTAATTACAAAAGAGGAAAAGGTTTATAAAGCACTTGACTCTGATTCAAAGGCCAACTCTCAAAACACAAAAACATAAAAAATCCTAGATCATTTATTTCTAATCTTAAAAATGCCACTTTTTTTTAATCCCAAAACTAATACTTTATTTTCTGAAAATATAATACCATATTCAAGTCTATATTTCTAAAATGTTTAGTGTAATTTTATAATAAAAACATGAAGAATAACACAATAAACATCTTTGTTTCCAATAAACAGTTTAAGAAAAAAAAAAAAAACACACTACCAACAGAGTTTTAACTTTTGTATCACTTTCTAGCTTTTTGTTTATTTTATAGGGGCAAGCAAAAGACAACTTCAAACTTATGATATTAAAGAAATGTTTACTGTGCTTTGTTTCCTTAACTCACTTTTCTGTTTTGAAGAATATTGCACAACCATCCACATGCTTTCTCTCCTGCTCAGACATGATTTTGGCACGTGACTTTGGAGAAAAAAATCCATCATATCCACGCTCCTTCAATGCTGGCAGAAAGAGAGTGAAGTATTGCTCTGTTTCCACTTCCTAAGACGAAAGAAAAGTTATCACCTACATGACATAGAAAAACCTTATTAATATATAAAACGTTCAGCATTTAAGTAAGATGTGTTTAAATTTAAATAATTGACGTAATAAATATTATCTATCTTATTGCTAGCAGCTGCCATTTGATGACAGCTTTTTAAAGCTGAAAGAACCACAAATGGTACATGATTTTCTGATTATCACACAGATAATCTAGCTACTAACAGAAGTAGGATTACATCTCAGGTCTCTTAACAGCCAATTTTGAGTTCATGCCATATATACTTCACTTCCTATATTATACTTCACTTCCTCCAGGCTGTGATACGAGCCAAGGTTGATCATATCATAGGTTAAAATTGCTGTCAAGTCAATTTCGACTCACAGAGACCCCTCCTTGGGTTTCTGAGGCAGTATCTCTCTCTACAGAAGTAGATTGCCCAGTCTTCCTTCCAAGGAGTGGCTGGAGGGTTTGAACCACCAGCCTTCTGGTTAGCAGTCAAATGCCTTAGGCACTATGCCACCAGCGCTCCGTATCACGGGTTAGGTGATAAGAAACAGTAAATTTTATTCATAAAGAGGTAATTTTTAAAACTACTTATCTTTCTCAACCTTGGTGGAAATGAATGATAACCAAGAATGAGAAAGATAAGATCAATTAACAAAATTTCTACCTAAGGAATTTTTAGGCACCTGAATGCCAATTATTCTTGGTCTCTGCTAATTTAGCAAATTATTAAATTAACCCAAAACCAAACCCATTGCCATGGAGTCGATTCCAACTCATAGCAACTCTACAGGACAGAGTAGAACTGCACCACAGTATTTCCAAGGCTGTAAATCTATACAAAAGCAGACTGTCTCATCCTTCTCTCGCAGAGCAGCTAGTAGGTTCAAATCACTGACCTTCTGGTTAGCAGCTGAATGTTTTAACCACTATATCACCAGAGCTCCTAATTATATTCTCTACGCTATAATATTTTTTATAAATCTTCCCAAATGAAATAATTAAATATGAAGATAATGGTTTATGTATAAAGATTTTCATAACAGCATTATTTTATAACAGCAAAAAAGCCTAAATGTTCAACAGCAGGGAAACCAATTAAAATACATTCATATAATAAACTATTTTCAAAGAATTTTAATAAATGGAAAGTGTACTTAAGTACAATAAGAAACAAAAATTTTTAAAGGTAATCCCTATTTTATCTTGAAAACGTATCTGTAAACAGATAAGCAAATAGAAAAAAAGGTCTAGAAGAAAACAGAACTGAAATTTTAACACTCCCTTTAATTTTAGAAACTATCTCTGATACATGGAAATAGATCTTTCTCCCATCATGATTTACACTTTTTTTTCTGAACTCTTCACTTCTCCAGAATAAATATTTTTATAAGAAAACAATTTTTTTTTAATTATGATGGTTTTTTCTTTCAAACTATGCTCTCCTTGGAAAGCTGTGAGGCACTTATTACTACAAACACTAAATCAAAAAGAAAACAGTTAAGTAACTACAACAGCCTAACTCTATTTTGTCTCTTCCTTCCCTCCTACTCTTCGTCAATTCTGAAGTCAAAGAGAACTTAATTTTTGAAGCTCTTTACTTCTTATTACCGAATATGTCATGTGAACCACAGGCAACATAATAAGAAATTATCAAGCTATTCTAGTACCAAAAAAAATTAGAAATAATATATTTTCTTCTAAGGCTATGCTGAAAATAAATACGTGAGATTATAACATTTAAAAAATTTGAAACATATTTAAATACTTCATATGCTTTTAAAGTTGCTAGGAGAAAAACTACAAAAAATCTACCTGTAAGAAGCAATAAAACATCTATTTCATGGAAAGGTGCTCCTTTGCTGGTTAAATTCATTTTAACAATGTGTTAAAAAAAAATTAGAAGTATCTAAATCTCAGATGTGGTGTTTAGAATAAAGTAAGAATGCATGATTTATAATACAATATTTTAATATCTAAAATGTTTATCTTTAAGAAATAACTGTGCACAAGTACTTCCCACCCTCGATTCCATTATAAATTAAAAGTATACTCCTAAAAGGCTAGCAATCAATCACCTTAAGTTTTCTCATTCAGTATTACCAATGATATGTTCATGAAGCAAAATGTTAACACAGATAATAGGTAAAGTTATTTTCACTGTAGAAAATAGTAAATGAATGTAAGTCAATGGCTGTACTCAGCAAAACTGTTTTACTGTAAAAGTGACATCTTAAATGTTTATTAAAATTTTCCCTTTTTTTTTTTTTTTTTAAGAGAAGGACAGAACACAACTCCTTTTGAGTTTTGCTTTGAACACAGTATCTCCCCCCTAAAGGTAAGATCTATTATTTTTGAGTTTACTTTTCAATTAAAAACAATTTAATTTCTATAGTGTTACCTGAAGACTAATGATATCTGCGTCACAGTTAACAATTTCTTCCATAATTCCCTTTTTCCTGTATTCCCAGTTTAAAGCCCAGGATGGGCAATAGCCATATAGCTGCCGGGTAGCGTATTTATCACATAACACATTGTAACACATAACCGTGAATGATGCTAAGAAGTGGGAGAAAAAAATAGCAGACAAAGAGGGAAAAAATTAGGCAACTTTTTCAAGAGCAGTATCATGTGTATAGCTACATAAGCAAACATGCACACATCGCAAATATCATCATAGTGAAATGCCTGTGGCGACATTTTCTGTTGAACAGAATCTATTCAAAACCTCACCAGAGTCCATCACTGGCATTCTGTTACTAGTCTAGAATTAACTAACAGACTAATTTTTAAGAAATTTATTTTTTAAAAAATTCAAATTTTGTTAGAACACTAATCCTCTGCATGTAATTTGCTAAATAAAGCTTCTCTATAAATGGAACAAAAGTAAATTTGAGCTTCATCATGATTAAAAGGCTATAATTTCATTAGTATTATTTTTAAATATGCCCATACTTAATACGTTTTAGAAGCTCTTGATGAGTCATTAGAGTACAGACTAACAAAGTTTACTTATAAGAGAATTTCTTTTCTGTAAAATCAAATGTTCATTTTGAAGTAAAATTTTCATTTAAAAATGTCCTTGAACTATAAAAAGGACTATGTACCAACTAATATAGTCAGGAGAAGATCATTTTTATCCTTAGTATTCAGAGAGCTCTAAGGACCAGCAGCATTGGTTATCACCTGAAAATGTGTTAGAAATGCACATTCTCAGGCCCCACCGAAACCTATTAAATTAAAATCTGCAATTACCAAAATCCTGAAGTGATCCATGGTTAAATTTTGAAAAGCCCTGGTTTTTATTAGTAATTCTCTCCTGGATGCCCATTAGAATCAGTTTGCAGACTTTCAAAAGAAAAAGCAAGCTGATACCCAGGAATCCCTCCAAACAAATTTAATCAAAATATTAAAATAAAACAAAAAACAAGGAATTGTTGCTGTTGAGTTGATTCTGACCCATGGCAACCCTATGTGTGTCACAAAAGAACTGGGCTCCATAGGGTTTTCAAAAGAAGGATTTTTTTTTTTAAGTAGATGATAATCTTTGACTTTCTTCCAAGGTACAGACGTACCTCCAAATCTTTTGGTTAGTAATGGAGCTGATTAACCATTTGCACCACTCAGTGACTCGAGAGTCAGAATATTAGAGCCTAGATATTTATATTTTTAAAAAGCATCTTAAGTGATTATAATGGACAGACATGGTTAATAATCACTTGTTTAGATAAACTGTGAGGTAATCAATGTCAAATAACATTTCACTGAGGTTGGTTCAGTTTCAAATGATGGTAAAGGTAGTAAAAGAAAAAGGTCAATGGTCATTTGTGGTTTGACTGTTGGCCATTCTGCACACTGGTGGGCATATTTCAGTTTGAGATGATTTGTATTTTCTTCTTATTTATCTGAGATATGACATAGAACCATTTAACCTCTACATTCTGAAGTGAGTACACTGCATTTACATTAGTCCACCTCTCTGAATTTGAAATGTCCTCTGGAAGTGAACAGAAAAGCAGCAAGGGAGATTGTTATTACCTCATTCAGCTTTTTTCTAAGACTCTGTGAAATGAGACTTGATAGAAAAGACCAGAGATTAATATTTCTATAATATGTAAAACTCAAAACCAAGCCCATTGCCATCAAGTCAATTCCAACTCATTATGATTCTGCAGGGCAGGTAAGAACTGCCCCATAAGGTTTCCAAGGTTGTAATCTTTACCGAAGCAGACTGCCCCAACTGTCTCCAAGGGGGAAGGCAGCTGAGCTCTTAACTACTGTGCCATCAGTGCTCCTTACAATGACATACAAAACACCTTATACCAGTGCCAAAACTCAAGAATGAATTGGCAATTTTTTTTCTTTAATTTTTATTGTGATTTAGGTGAGTTTACATAGCGAATTCACTTCCATACAGCAGTTCACACACATTTTGTTTCATGATACTGACTGCAATCCCCCAAAATGTAACAGCTCTCTTCCCACTTCCTCCCTGTAGTTACTTCTTCCCTGTGTCCTTCTTTGCTATGCATTCCTGCCCTCTGAGCTATCTCCCTGTGAAAATGTGAATTAGCAATTTTTAAACAAAGTTTTAAATAGCTAAGTTTCTTACATCACCATTCTTCCATCTTCTGTTTATACACAGCACCTTTTTACTCCCTGAGGTTTGATTCCTACAGTTTTGTTACTATAAACTACCTTTAACCACAGCCAGTTATCATATACATCCCCAAAACATCAAAAATAGTAAAAGGCATTTTTTAAAATAGCTCTGCTTTTTAGCACTCAGATTCTACTTAGGTAAGCACTGTATATTACAAGAAAAATCTATAGCAGTTTTTCAACAAGAAAAATCCAACACCACATTACTTTCAGAATTCAGCAATTAATGAAAATTGTTTCTGCTGTTCTTTTCTTAACTGAAACGCAGCTGTGCAAAAATTAGGAAACCCTTTCTTCAAGAAGGAATGGCTCTGGTGGCACAATGGTTAAAGCACTTGGTTGCCAACTAAGAGGTTGGTGGTTCAAACCCACCAGCCACTCCCACAGAAGATGAAACAGTCTGCTTCCTTAAAGACTGACTGCCTTGGAAACACCATGGCACAGTTCTACTCTTTCCTATAGGGCTGCTATAAGTCGGCATCAACTCCATGGCAACGGCTTTTTTTCTTATCTTCAAGAATGTGCTCATTCCTGTTCAAAAAGGGATTACTTTGAAAACCAGAAAATGGTCTTTTTAAAATTAAGAAGGATATAATTACACATTAGGGAAGGCCAAGTATATAAAGTAAGTCTGCCTAACTTAATGCTTTGTAAAAAAAATAAAAAACCTTAGGTATTTTCAATTTACTCAGAGCATCTATATACCTGATAATATAAGTATTATTTATCATAAAATTGATATAATGTCTCTTGTTGCAGACTGTTATTGTGCTTTTATAGTGTGGTATTTTAAAATTATTACCTCTGAAAGACACTGGAAGTATATACTGTATACTGTAGTATTTATTTAGTATTTATAAATATGAGCACAAGAGTTACACTTCCCACATTTTCAAACACATTATCATCCCAATACCAAAACAAATGAATCTTCTTTTATTTAATTTTAACTGAAACTTAATTTACTTAATCTCTAAATAAGGGAGGGAGAGGAAGGAAAGGAGGTAAAGAGAGGGGAGGTTATACTGTTAAAAATGTACACAAGAAATTCTAACAACTTAAATTTATTCTGACAATTACTAAAATAAAAGTATTTCGTGATTGTGAAGATGGCACAGGGCCTGGCAGTGTTTTCCTTGATTCTGTTTTAACATAAGGCCTCTAGAAGTCAGAACTAACCTGACAACACCTAACAACAATTTAGTGATTGATTTAACATTTATATTAAAAGAGGAATATCTCATCATATAAATTTTAAATTAATTCTTGTGCTAATTTTAAATGAAAATAGATTATTATGAAAATGTACTACTCTTGCAACTTTTTTTTTCTTAAAGAAGACATTTGGGTAAATACTAATTCATAGCAATATATTTTAAGTAGAATCTCCAACCTTAAAATGTCTAATATGTTAACAAGCCTTACAAATGTCAGATCAGTACTGGTCTCAAGAAAGAAATAAACGTTGTAATTTTCTAAATTACTACAGTTCTAGAAATGCTAGATTATACCCTTAAATTGCTCAAATAATCACCCTGAACCATTTATAAGCCCTAGGCTTAGTATCATATATAGCAAATACATACTCGGTCTCAATCATTCTTCTACTGAAAGGATGCTATCAGTGTACCCTCTCAGGGACAACAAAGTACCTAAGTTGTTTAAAAGTTTTCAGAAGAAAATGTATTATCACTCATTTATTCTTAAATCACCCAATACTCTGTGTAAAGACATCATTTAGAAAAGGGTATTACAGGAATAATTTTAACACTAAATGCCATATTGTTATGAAAGATACTTACACATTGGCCTAAGATAATATGAATAAAAAAATCTAATCTACCTATCAGTATTTTTAAACTCATTAAGGGAGGCACAAGAAAGGTCTGTTAATTATAGGTCACAAAACTCAAGTAGCTGGTTTAAGTATTTCTGGAAAAAGTCAAGGAAGAAAGAAAATACTTCTTACCTGAGGGCAGAATTTGGTCTCGTTCTTTTAAGGTAATCCATGGCCTCGGAGGAAGCTGCTCTGGATGAACTGAAAAAAAGGTTTTTTTAAAATTATAACTCCATCTGTTTTCAAAACAGTATCTTATTATATTAAATCAACTTTTGTTTTATTTTCAGCATACTTACTGATCCACAGTCAAACTTAGAAACTTAATGCTGAAATTTAATAAAGATTTAGAAACTAAAGGAAGTTTAAGAATAGCTATGTAGAAAACACACAACTAATATTAGAAAAGAACATTAGGAAACTCACTAGTGGGATTTACACTTACATGATATTTACGAAAAATAATTATTTAAAGCCTTGATTTTAATGTCATGATTAAGTATGTAAACTGCATTGACCTTAGTTCCTTACTAAAAAATCGAAGTTATATGAAATTCCAACAAACTGAATGAAACATTTTTAAAATAGAAAAATATGTATGATTTTAAAATAAAGACGACTGTATTTTCTAATACTTTTCATTTCCTAATTTTATTATTTCTCTCTTTTATAAAGCCAGTGCAGAAAGATAAGAAGAGAATTAAATTGTACAGAAAATGAAAGGCACTGGTTAAACATTAATTGCTCCGTTATTATTATCAAAAGCATGGTACTATATACACTACCCACCAACCAGATGAAAGAAAATTCACTAAGTCAAGATTTAACTAGCCCTTTTTCTTCTTCCTCTTTAAAATTTTTGCAGGTATAGGACAATTTGACTCAAGTTTGCAGATTTTCCCAGTGTATTAAACCAGAAAAAACAAACCAGTTGCTATAGATTCAACTCCTACTCAAGGTTACCACATGTGTGTCACAGTAGAACCGTATTCCATAAGATTTTCAATGGCTGATTTTTCCAGAACTAGATCACCAGGCCTTTCTTCTGAGATGCCTGTGGGCGAATTTGAACTGCCAACCTTTCAGTTAGCAGCTGAGAGGGTAACCATTTGTGGTGTCTAGTGACTGAAAAACGTATTTCCCTAAAATAAAAACATTCCATCTTTATTCAGTCACAGGCAAATTTTGGCAAAAAATCCAAGATCGTAAAAAGTGAACATTACTATTGTGGTGGTCCACAAGTTTACCTAAAGGATGCTTGCTTTAGCAGCCATATTTTTCAGAGTAGCATTTGACATATTCCATATCTTTTCAGGAAAGGAATGGAGGTTATCTAAGATGACAAATAACTCTTATAGATGATTCAACATTATTTTGAATCTTGGGAAATAGGAGCATCTTGGCAACTGTCTCAAGATGGAAATCCTAAAATATAAATGCAATGAAGAATAATGAAGGAGCTTTCCAGCCACTAGAATCCTTCTTAACAAATTTCACCTAAATTGGCCTGGTTAAACATTCAGAAATCAAGAAACTTCTCAAAGAAAGCACAAGTAAGGTGATGTCAACATTTTGGTGTTTCCCATATGTTATGGATTTAACTATGTTCCCCAAAATGATATAATGAAGTTCCAATTTCTGTACTTGTAAATTTGACCCTGTATGGGGAAACAGGGTTTTTCTTTGCAGGTACAATCAGTATACGGAGGTCATATTAGAGTACAGTGGGTCCTAATCTCCTATGAGTATTATCTTATACAAGAGGGGAATACACAATGAGAAAGAGTAAAGACAAGGAAATGACACCATTTCATACATGTATAAGCATCTACAAGAAATGCCAGGAATTCCAAGTAGAAACCAGAAAGTAGGAAAGAGGCATAGACAGTTCCTCTATACAAGTTCTCAGAATGAAATGACACAGCTCACATCCCAACTTGGACTTCTAGATGCCAGAACTGAAAAAGTTTAAATTTTTGTTCTTTAAGACACTTTATTTCATGGCATTTTGTTACTGTACACCTAGGAAACTAAGACACCATCTCTTAACTAATGATCACAAATCTCTTAACAAATATATCACAATGCATTCATGTACAACATAGCATCCATTCAAGCAATGTCCAACCGCATATACATCAATGGTCCCATAAAGTTATGACAGGGTTCAGAATTCCCATCAGAGAACAGGACACAGGGGATGTAGCCAGTTGTTGTTGTTGCTGTTGTTATGTGCTGTGGAGTCGGACCCGACTCATAGTGACCCCTCCTTGGATTTCCAAGGCAGAATCACTACCGAAGTAGATTGCCCAACCTTCCTTCTGAGGAGTGGCTGGTCGGTTTGAACCACCAGTCTTCTGGTTAGCAGTCAAATGCCTTAGGCACTATGCTCCCAGAACTCCTAACCAGAGTGAAGGCAACAGATTCCTGCACACAACACATATATCTCATGTCTCCTGTATACAAACTGTACAAAAAACATTAAAGAAACACTTTCAGGTAGCGCAGTGCCTCAGGCACTTGACTGCTAACCAGAAGGCTGGCAGTTCAAACCCACCAGCCACTCCCCAGAAGGAAGGTTGGGCAATCTACTTCTGTGGTGATACTGCCTTGGAAACCCAAGTAGGGGTTGCTATGGGTCAGATCTGACTCCACAGCAATTGTTGTGTTGCGTTTTGTAAAACATCTTTAACATAAGAATCCATACCAAATTCATTGTCTCGAGTTGATTCTGACTCACAACGACCCCATTGGGTTTCCAAGGCTGTAAATCTTTACAGAAGCATCTTTTTTCCACAGAGTGGCTGGTGAGTTTGAACCACCAAACTTTGGTTAGCAGCCAAATTCTAACCACTGTACTACCAGAGCCCCTAAACATAGTAACATAGTAACAATAATAACAATAATATTTTGATGCATGCCACAAAGTAGCATCCAATTGTTATTAGGAACCATTGTATATATCCTGAATTATTAATATAAGAGAATTTGGGTAAGGGGAGATTGATGTGTAGCTACAGCTTGCATGTAAGTTGGATATTCTTAACCTGGGGACCACATGTATATAATAGGATGTTTGCAACATGTCTAAATCACATGATGTCCTATTTCATAGAATGTATTACAGACAATAAGGAACTCTCGTGGTGCAGTGGTTAAAGCATTTGGCTGCTAACCAAAAGGCTGGTGGTTCAAAACCACCAGTTGCTCCACAGGGGGAGGGGGAGGGGGAGGCAGTCTGTGTCCATAAAAATATACAGCCTTGGAAACCCTATGGGGCAGTTCTCTGTCCTACTGAGTTACAACGAGTTGGAATCGACTAGATGGCAGTGCATTTGGTTTTAATTTTTGGTATTGTGGACATTAGTAAGCAGTGCATGACTGTGTATCAGGATGAATAAAATGCATGGTGCTCACCAACAATATCAAACAGCCAATAAAATATGAAAAGATGTTTAATTTCCCTAGTAATTCCCTAGTAATAAAATTTAAAAAATTAGATAGCGTATTTTTATCTAAGATGACAAAAACTTTCAAGTTATTAATACACAGGGTTGGTGATGATATTAAGAAACAACTACTTCCATACTTTCATGTAGAGGTGGTAGAAATGTAATTGGTACAGCTACCTAGGAGGGCAAACTGACATCATCTTTTAAAATTTAAAACATACATGTCCTTCAAGTTTAAATGGCCTAACATACCACACAGAAACATTGTTCCACATCCTATTTTGGTGAGTAGCAACTGGAAACTTAAAAGCTTGCGAGTGGCCATCTAGAGGTAACGATGAGTCTCTCCTCAGCCAAAGCAAAGAAGAATGAAGAAAACCAAAGATGCATGGGAACAGTTAGTCCAAGAGACTGGTACACCATGCAGTCCTCAGCCTATATGATTACGAGACCAGAAGAACTAGACAGTGCCCAGCACCACTGTCAACCACTCAGAGAGGGATCTATGTAGCAGATCCTGGATACAGTAGCAGAACAATGTGGAAAAAAACTCAAAATAAAAAAAAAATAAAAGGGACCAGGTTTGCTGGTCTGATAGAGCCTGGTGGAACCACTGAGATTATGGCCCCTAGCTGCCCTTCAGGTCTGGAATTGAAACCACTCCTATGGCTTCCAGACAAACATATGAGCTGAACTTTTATAATAAGTAGATACTCCTTGGAGAGAACAATCATGGGAGAATAGAAGGGCTGTGTTTGCACAGGGAGACAGCTGAAGGGGCAGGAGTGCATGGGAAGGAAGGACACAAGAAAGAGGTAACTATGGGGAAGAAGAGGGAGGGGAGCTGTTGCACTGTGGGAAATTGCAGTTGTAGTGGTTAACTTTGTGTGTCAACTTGGCTGGGCCTGGTTGAGTGGCTGAACAGCTGGTGCTAGTTATTCCCCATGATGAGACTGGTAATCAACTCCATGGTGGAACCTACCACAAGCAGCTGAGTAGCTACTTTAGGAATGTGGTCTGCTTCCCATATATAAGAAACAGCTTTGAGAATGGTCTCTAGCTTATGGCACGCTTGAACCCTGCATGTAGCTGTGTTGTTGTTCAGCAGCCTACCATCTTCTGCCAACCTTGGGACTTAAAATGGACTTGAATTAATGGCCTGCCACACAGTTTGGTAACATCAGGACTGTGCCATTTTATTTGTCGACCCTGGGCTTGTTAACCTCAGCAGCCAGTAGTTGCCTGAGTGAAGAGATAGATGTCTCTAGCCTCAGTGGGCTGGGAGCAAGAGGCTGAGCTGAAGCCCAAGGTCAAGGGGCTTTCACCCAGCCCCTAGAGCCTGACACTTTGAACTTGGACTTAAAGCCGCCAAACTGTAAGAGAATAAACTCCTGCTTGTTAAAGCCATCCCATTTGTTGTATTTCTGTCAGAATGGGTAATCAGAATAGCAGTCAGTGTCATGAGACAAAGTGTATGTGAACTGCTGTATGGAAAGTGAATTATCTCTGTAAACTTTCACCCAAATTACAATAAAAAGTAAAAACAAAAACAAAAACATGCATGTCCCTATGACGTAGCAATTCTATTTCCAAGGATCAGCATGAAGCAGCATTCAAAAAGAGATTCATTACACCACTGTTAGTAACAGCAAAAACAATGGCAAATGGTTGAGTAATACCCATATTATGGAAGTCTATGCTGCAATTTAAAAGAAAAGGGATGGATGGATGAATAGATAGATATGCTGCAGTGGAAAGCTAACCTAGGAATACTGCTGCATTAAAAGAAGCAGAAAAATATCTAATAATTAAATATATTTTACTGGAAACTCAAAAACATACATGAAAAGTTAATACTCTAAAATTTCTACTGAAATAGCAAACATATTGCTTGGTAAATAGAAAGTACCCAGTATATAAAAAGAAGAATGTCCCACTGTCATAGGAACTCAAGACCTATAAGCAATTATATAGTCAGATGCTCTTAAGCAAAATGTGCTATATTAGCTAGCAGTAGTATCTGTAGAGTTCTCTGCTGTCGTTAACTACTTACCTGCAAGATTGTCAAGCATGAAGTTCAGTAGCTTTCGGGTTCCATCTGGGTCCTGGTATAAGTTGAGAATATCCTGTGATAAAGGATTGCCTAAAGCAAAAGACAAAAATGAAAACCGTAAGACATAAAATTGTACAATATAACAGAAAAATATGCTGTACCATCTAAAATATTAATTTTATAAATTGATTTTCAATGTATTTAATCTATGAAATAAACTTAAAGAAATTAAGAATTTGAGAAACTATACTCTATGTTAATACAGTTCAAAAAAAATTTCAATAGAGCTATATACCATTTATAATGTACACCTACAATTTGGGCTTGTCAAACTTAACACCAAAACCAAAACCAAATCACTGCTGTCGAGTTGGATTCAACTCATAGCGACCCTTCCTTGGGTTTACAAGGCAGTATCACTACAGAAGTAGATTGCCCAATCTCCCTTCAGAGGAGTCTTCAAACTCAATACACACACATATTAATCATGGTCAATTATGAAGAAGTATCATGACCTGATGCCTTGAGGTAACTCTGGAAGTTCTATATTTAATTTTAAAGACACAAGATTCTAATCGAAAGACAAACAGCTCTACATGAGAAAGCATAAATGAGACTTTGTAAAGTGGGAATTCTGTCATTTTGAATATTTACATTTTTATGTATGGGGAAGAGAAAATATTTCAAGTGAGGGAACAAATCTATTACTAAGACGAAGTAGTAAGATGTGCAAGAAAAAATAGGATTTGGTTACGACAGTGCTCAAGGATATTTGAGCACTAAAACTACAGACATCGTTTATCAAGCAATAAAGGTAAGAGACTTTTTATTCTCTTAAGAAACAAAGGTGATTCAAAGATAAGCATGAATCAACAGACTTTCAAACAGATTTCATGGGGAGAAAAATGGAACTTAACAAAAATAGTAACAACAAAAGTTACAGTGCAACAGATATCTACCAGAATGGCTAAAATCAAAAAATACTGAGCAGCCAAGTGTTAGAAATAACGTGAAGTTTCTGACTTCTCACACATTAAAGACAGAAATGTAAAAACGTACAATTATTTTCAAATTTGGTTGGTAACTTCAAATTGACAAGAAGTTGGAAAAAGAACTTCCTGGGGATAACAGGAATCTTCTATGTGATGACCACATAGGTATATGCCTTTGTCGAAATTCTTCAAGTTGGATACTTAAACATTTGGATATTTTACTGCATATGATCATAAATCAATGAAGTATTTTAGTGGAAAAAACCTTTGTTAATTAAAAACAATAAATTAAACACTGTTGAAAAGAAAATCAGTGAACAGGAAAAATATATCCAAAGAAATTAACCAACCTGTATCACTAAGAGTCAAAGAGATGGACAACATAAGGCATTAGAAAATATAAAATGGATAAAATGGACTTCATAAAAATAAAAAACTATTCTCTGAAAGACATTTAATTAAGAAAATAAAAATACCAGTGACAGACTAGAGAAAACATCTGCAAAACACATATCTAAAAGTGGACTTGTAAACAGAATATACAATAAACTCTCAAAACTCAATAATCAGAAAAAATTAAAGTCAATAATAAAACCAGGCAAAAGATTTAAACATACATTTCACCAAGGAAGATATACAAATGGCAAGTAAGCATACAGTATCATTAGCTGATAGAGAAATGAAAATTGAAATCTTACTACAGTCCATCAGAATGGTAAAAATTTATATATATATGTACACACGCACACACATATACACATACACAAATATATATACATGGGAGTTCTGGTGGCACAGTGCCTAAGACATTTGACTGCTAACCAGAAGGCTGGAGGTTCAAATCCACCAGCCACTCCTTGGAAGGAAGATTAGGCAATATACTTCCATAGAGATATCACCTCCGAAACCCAAGGAGGGGTCGCTATGAGTCAGAATCAACTCAGTGGCACTGAGTTTGGTTTATGTGTGTGTGTGTCATATATGTGTGTGTGTGCGTATATATACATATTAATGTGTATGTATATATATACACACACACATATATATATGACATATATATCAGTATAATGTCAACTTCTGGCAAGATGTGCAGTAACTCTCTCATTTCAGTGAGAATGCAAAATGATACACTCACTTCAGGAAAAAGTTTGTGAGTTACTTATAAAGTTTAACATACACCAACCAAACTCACCAATCCCACTTCTAGATATGTACTAACCTGTTAAACAAACTCATTGCTATTGAGTCAATTCCAATTCATAGCAGCCCTACAGGCCAGAACTCCCTCATAGGGTTTCCAATGTTTTAATTTTCACAGAAGCAGAACGCCTCATCTTTCTTCTGTTAGAGTGATTGATGAATTCAAACCACTGTGCCACCAGGGCTCCTTAGGTGTTTACCAAAACAAAATAAAAACTCATTTTACTCAGTAATTTGTACATAAATGTTTATAGTGCTTTATTCCTAATTGTCCATAACTGGAAACAATCCAAATGTCTTTCTACTTCTGAATGAATAAAAATCTGTGATATATCCTTCAAGGGGATATCTCAATGACTGAAATGAATGAGTTACTGATATATGCAACAATATGAACGAATCTCAAATGCATTATGACAAATAAAAGAATCCAAACTCAAAAAGTTACATATTATGTTTCCATACGGAACATTCTGGAAAAGTAGTTGCCAAGGGCTGAGAGCAGGAAGAGGAGTTGACTTCAATGAGCACAAAGGAATTTCGGGAGGTCATAAACTGTTCTATTTCTTGACTGTATTGATGGTTATGTGACTTCATACATCTGTCAACATTCATTGAACTGCACATCAAAGGGGTGAATTTCACTACATGTAAATGATACGTCAATTAACAAGTTGCTAAAATAAAGTTTAATTGCATGTAATTACTCATATAATTCATGCGCACAACATTAAGAAATATATTCAAGTTAAAATTTCCAGAGTACTAAGAATCTGAAAATAAGAGTGTATAATTTTAAAACAACAGAAAGAAAGAATATACAATGAGGAAAAAAGAAACTTAGTTTTCAGAAAGACAAGAAAGGAGAGAAAACACACAAAAAGTGGAATCAAAAAAGAGGTAGGATAGCAGTAACAAGTAAAAGAACAATACTGTATAAAAAGTACAATAATTACAATATAGGTAAGGCAACTAGTATGAATCCACATGTTAAAGAACAAAATAATATCAACTGTGTTAAAAACAAAGTCCAGCTATACACTGTTCTTAAAAAATACACCACAGCATAAGTACTAAGAAAGACTGAAACTAAATGGATAAGAAAAGGTATACTAGACACACATTAACCAAAAGAAAATTGGCTTAATTATAAGATTAGACGAAAGAGACTATAAAACATAAATACTAATAAGGGAGAAAAAGACTCACACTATGAAGAGGTTCAATACACCAGAAGATATAGCAATTTTAAGTTAATATAAATCTAATAAAATAGTCTCAAAGTATATAAAGTAAAAACTGACTGAACTACATGGAGAAATATACACATCAGCCAACTTTACAGAGGTTTTAATATAAATTTAGTTTGTGAGGTTTTTTGTTTTGTTTTGTTTTAAGGAGCTCTGGTAGCCCAGTGCCTAAGGCATCTGACTGCTAACCAGAAGGTTGGTGGTTCAAACCTACCAGCCACTTTGCAGAAGCAAGACTGGGCAATCTACTTCCATAAAGATCTACTCCCTCAGAAACCCAATGGAGATCACTATGAGTCAGAATTTACTCGACAGCAGTAGGTTTGGTTTCTTTTTCTTTTTTTGGTATTAAAAGATTAACCCATCAAAAGTTCCCAATATATAGAGAAAAAGAAAATTTGAGCAACACAATTAACAAATTTGAACTAATGGGCAAATGTATAACTAACTCAACAATTAGAGAATACACATTCTTTGCAGATGCAGGTAAAAGCATTTATAAAAACTTATCACACACTAGATTATAAAGTAAAAATCAACAAATGTGAAAGAACTAACTTCACATTACCTACCTTAACTGTATAAAATGGAATTAAGTTTAATGCTAATAATAAAAAAGGTACATTTAATATCCCACATGTACTGAAATTTTTAAAAAGCATTTTGAATGAGTCAAAGAACTATTATAACCCATACTGAAAATACTTAGAATAAAACAATAATGAAAACAATTCTTACCAAAATATGTGGGATGCAAGATAAACAACACATAGAAGCAAATTCATGGCCTTGTTTATATTTCAAAACAAGCTAATGTAAACAAGAATGAGCCACGAGTACAACTTCAAAACAGAATAGAAGAAAAAATAAAACAGCAAAGTAGCAGTGTACAAGGTCAATGCACAAAAAACAATTATCTATATACCAGCAATGAAAAATCTGAAAGGGAAATTAGGGAAACTACTCCATTTATAAACCAAAACTAAACCAAACTCACTGCCATGGAGTCGATCCCGACTCATAGCAACCTCTCCTTGAATTTCTGAGGTCACAGGCATCCATTAATACTGGGAACATGGAATGTAAGAAGTATGAATCTAGGAAAACTGGAAGCTATCAGAAATGAAATTGAATGCATGAAGATCAATATCCTAGGTATCTGTGAGCTGAAACAGACTGGTATTGGCCATTTTGAATCAGACAATCATATGGTTACTATTCTGGGAATGACAAATTTAAGAGGAATGGCATGGGATTCATCGTCAAAAAGAACATTTCAGCTCCATCCTAAAGTACAATGCTGTCAGTGACACGATAATATCCATATACCTACAACCACCACTAAACCCAAAGATGAAGAAATTCAAGACTTTTACCAACATCTGCAGTCTGAAATAGACCAAATATGCTATCAGTATGTATTGATAATTACTGGTGACTGGAATGCGAAAGTTGGAAATAAGGACGAAGCATCATCAGTACTTGGAAAATATGGCCTTGGTGACAGAAATGACACCAGAGATTGCATGACAGAATTTTGCAAGACCAACTATTGATTATTTATTGCTAATACCTCTTTTCAACAACATAAACAGCAACTGTAAACATGGACCTTAGCAATAGAATACAAAGAATCAAATTTACCTCA